TGCTTTCTTTAGGTTACATCCCTCAAAGATAAAGTACTACTTTTTTTTTTTTTAAGGACAATGATACTTTAACAACATAATTTGACAACATTTTGACATGAGGCACGTGTCAAAATGTGAATGGTGCACGTGAAAATCAATTTTTAAAAAGAATAATGACGTGGAAACAAATTTGGGTTTGGGAACAGGGTTTTAAGTTTTGGGGGTTCATTTTCAAATTTCAGATTTTGAAATTTGAGGCTTGGTTAGAGAGAGAACCGAAGCTTAAAGAGAGAGAGCACGAAACCTAGAGATAGTCCCCTCTTCCCTCCACCCAGCCACCCACTGTCAGAGGGCCGTCGTAGTGCCGTCATTCGTAGAGAGAGTGTCGCTTCCTCCCACCTAGCCACCCATTGTCGCCGGAGTGCCGTTGGAGTGTCGTCGGAGTGCCGTCGGAGTGCCGTCGTTCCTAGAGAGAGTGTCGCTTCCTCCCACCTACCCATTTTCGTTGTCCGCCAGAGTGTCGCCTGAGGAAGTATTGTCCGTTCCGGTGATCGGCGTTGTTCAAAGCTTTGATTGCAACGATCACCGAAAAAGACGCGTTTTTGTCGTTCCGTAGTCATATAAGTGTTTGTGCGTCTTCCTCCCACCCAACCATTTCCGTGTCTCTTCCCAGAAGCGTCGCTTTCTGTTGTTAGAATTTGTAGTCCGCCAGAGTGTCGCCGGTAGTTTGTAGTGTCACTTTTGTGTGTCTCATTTCTTGTTGTCCATTTGTCTTTGTAGCTTTAGAGTTTATTATGTATTTTTACCCTCTAATCTCTTACTAAAGATTTTATTGTGCAGGCCGAGAGGAAAAAAGAGAGGTACAAGAATGTACTTATTTGTTCTAAGAACTTAGTAAGCATTGAACGTTTTTGGTGAAAATGTTTATGATAATAATTTGCATATTGCTATGAAGGCATTTTTTCTCTATTGATACTCTATCTGAAGGTTACAGGTTGCTACTGGTATAATATGTTATTGGTAAATACTTTTTCTAGATATTTTGCTTGAAAACATAACTGGTAATTAGTCATAAATTGTGAAAATGAGGAAGCGACACTCTCTGAGCTTCAGTTCTCTCTCTAACCAAGCCTCATATTCAAAATCTGAATTGTGAAAATGAACCCCCAAAACTTAAAATCATGTTTCCAAATCTGTTTCCACGTCATTATTCTTTTTAAAAATTGATTTTCCCGTGCACCACTCACATTTTGACATGTATTCCGTGTCAAAATGTTGTCAAATTCTGTTGTTAAAGTATCATTGTCTTTTTTTTAATGTCTTACCACTAATTTTCTCTTCTTCTATTGGTTTCTGCTTTTAGTATTGTTGCTTTGCCTTTTCCACAAGTTTTTTTCTTACTGTTACATGTTGATGATCCTAATTTTAGACATTTGGTTGCTGCTATTTTTTCTGAGTAGATTGAAGCATGTATAACGTAATTCTATAAAATTGCGTTAAAGGTGATTTTGTATTAGTTTATATAAAGTTTTATAAAAGTATGAGTTTTAAATCTAATTCAGTATATATATAAAATAGACTTTTGAATTTTATATCTGATACAACTTCAGAAAAAACCAAAAAGAGTTCTAAAATGTATAAGTTTTAAATATATTCCAGCTTCAGTTAGAGTAATACTGACATCAATTTATGTATTTATAACTTGATTATATTTTTAATAAGAAATAATTATAGTGTCAAATTTACGAGCCATTATTTGTGTTTTTTTTTTTTTTTTGCGTTCAGCTTTTAATTTCTAGTTCAAGCAATTTCCTTCTCCGCCCATATTGTTCAGCAATTAGTAGATAGATGGAAAAGAATTTTTGTGGCATCTCAAAATGTTATTAATATTTTTTCTTAAATTTAAAATTAAGATATTATATAAAGATTGTTCACCATTATAAATATATAATGATTTTATATTAATTTGATCATTTTTTTCTTTGTCATTCCCTAAGACCTAATATTTTAAGAAAGATAAATTTTAATTCAATAAAAGAATATAAAATTTAGGTTTAATTGAATTTCAAGTTGTTGATAAATTTGATCATTTTTAATCGAGTCTGTAATAATTTTTATAATTTATTTAATACTCACAAATATTATAATTTTCAATTATATTCTTATAATTTAGATGTGACTATATTATTTTATTTGTTGCGGTGAGGTCTAGTTGATATGGTGATTGTGGGTGGAGAAGATGGATAATGGGGTAGTAGGGGTCATAGAAGAGAAAGGAAGGAATATATGAGAAGGGAAGAAGATCACCCATAAATTAATATATGTGTAATATTTTTTTTATATTTTGTAAGACTATTCTATTGAATATTTGCTAAACTAGTAACAGAAGCCATGCTGATGAAATTGATAAAGAGCGAGAAGGAGAAGAAGGTTGAGAAGATGGATGTTATCTCATTGGTAAGTATACTAAATCGTACAAATAGTAAAAATGGTAAGTTGAAGTATTGTTTGTTAAGAAATTTGTGTTTGTTTAACTAACTATATATGATTAATTACTAATTTAGGTAGTTAATATGAACATTGATTAATTCAAACAAGTTAACAATATCTAAAGTTTCTAAATAGGAAAGTTATAAAATGATTTAGATAAAGACATACTTGGTTGGACTTCATGACCTAAACTCTATGCAATCATCTATACAATATATCTCTAACATACTCAAGTATTCACATGATAAGCATACAAGTCCTAATATCTTAGAGACATTCTAAATTCTTTCGTGAAAATACTAATCCCTTAGATATTCAAACACAAGTTTTGCATTAAGAAAATAAGTTTAGAATGACCAAGAGTTTTCTAGAACCAAACCTCTTTGTTGTTTAATCAATGTCTAGGTTCCATAATATTTTTCAGTGATTAGACACCACCCAAATGACATAGGTATTTCATCATGGATGTGAATAATAAAGATAGAATACTAGAATAATGAAAGATATTGTATTGCATAAAAAAGATACAAAGAGATTAGGTATATTTCATCAAATCCAATGAAATGGAGTTTAGCTACTCCTATACATCTAGAACACAAGAGGGAATTGAAATGATAAAATGAATGAAAAAATATGGAGTCCTTAGAAGTTCCTCAACCCATGTCTTGAGTCTCAAGTGTGTTCCTATATCAAAAACTACTCTTTTCTTCAACAAGATGTATTGTCGAGCTTGTCAAACTGTATTGTCAAGTTGTGTTATCGAGCTTGTCAGATGGACTGTCTATCGAACTTGCCGACCTGTGAAAAATCTATCAATATTTCATTAGAGTTTTTAAAGTTAATAAAATTATTATAATATGAAGAGAATGTTGAACTTTCGAAGATAATATTACTAGAATAATTCTAAGTGTTAAAACTTTTATCCATGTTGTATTAAAAAACCGTACTTATGTGTAAAACACAAAAGACTACAAATTTTCTTTAAAAATACTATCAATGAATTGTTTCAACGAAGCAAAGGAAATTGTAGTAGAACGAATAATTTTATGGCTAAAGTTGTAAGAAGTATAGCTGAGACATGGATATTTACAACACACATGGGAGACACATCTTAACAAAATGAAGTCAACCCAAGTCAAACCATGCATATAATATAGAATGCTATTTTACAATTTGTTTAAATATATTTTATAATTTTAAAATTTTAATATGATTTCAAAAGTCATAAAAACAACAATAAATTTTACATTCACATACATCGATCAGTGAAAGTTTTTTCATTCACAATTAAATATTTGAAAACTAAAAGCTTTGCCATTTTCCTCAATATAGTATATATGCAATGCAGGTGTATTATTATTTAACCTTCACATGTAGATTAGACAAGTACCATTAATATTTCTCTTATCAATACTTGTATATATACTTTAAAACTCCTGTGTGAAATACAATTAGGGGTATATTGTATTTAATTTCTAATAGGGTTCTCCTTCTTAATTATGGACATGGAAAATTGATTACAGACAGAATTAAGAAACAAATACAAGTTTAATAAATAAAAAACAAAAATGTTTACGGGTTTACTTAAAAGAATTCAAATAGTTCATATATAGTTCTACACAATTCTTATTTTATTCTCAAACTACCAACAAGAAGTTGGTTTAGGTTTAAGAGATACTGAATTTTTATTATCCTAAATTAGTTCAGATAAAACCTTTTGAATGACTTTTGTTGGGTTGAGTTTTTAGAGTAGGAATTTACTATTTTAAACTCTTAAACACATTAATACTTCCACAGTCATGGACCTATATGTATAAATATTGTGTTGAAATACGTTAAATTATTGTATTGTTTTTTATTATACTCTTTCATTTCATTTTTTTCTTCAAATTAATGATATTAGAGTTGATGATGAGTTTTATCTACAAATTTAAATGTGTCGCCATTTAAGTGAGTTTTAGTTTTTAATTGAGTAAAAATGAAAAGTTGAATACCGTATAAAAATAAATATTTTATAATTTTATTGTTTTAAACGTTTTGTATTAGAAATGGTATCAATTTTTTATATGTAAATTGAGTTAAATTTTCATTAAGATTGTGTCTATATGATCATCTTTTCTCGAAAGAACTATAAATGGTATTGAGTCAAAAATTTATCTTGATGACGTGCTCCGATAAATTATTGTATAAAAAGTATTTTTAACAAAGAATCAGATAAGCATATACCATATATTGAGATGAACAGTGATACAGTGTACTCGTTTTTTAATTTACATGACGAATCTGGCTCAAAATATCCAACAAGATTCTTCTATTAAGTTTTATTATTTTTTAGTTTTTTTTTCCTTTATTAGTTTTGGTTTGGGGAAAAGGGTATATAATCTCTTTATTCTGATTAAAAAAAACTTTGTGCAATGAAAAACTGTAATGAAAGAAAAGATTATAAATTAGAATATTGGACAATAATAATCAAATACAAAAGTACCAATAAATCTTGTCGGTGATTTTAAATCCAACACAAATAAATCTTAAAAAGAAAATATTTTCTGCTCCAATCTTATTCATGATGATCAACACATAAAAAATTTGTTACAAAATGGCAGAGTCCAATCACACACACTTATCACCCTTGGACACACAATGGTCTGAGTCTACCAGACCACAAAAAGGATTACTTTCCATCAAACTTTGTAATATTCTAAAATTTAATTGCCTACACACATCAAGTATATGTATAGGATTATCTTCAAAACATGTAATCTATTAATTAATTTTAATTATACAGTGGTGGTACCATATGATAAGGATAATAATAGAAGGGATAGTTTTCGTAAACAGGAACAGCTACTTTTGGTGGATCCACTTTCTCTTTCTCTTTCTCCTCTTTTGCTGGTCCAACTGAAATTAATTCTGTGTGACACCATTTTCGTAGCTTCGACACTGCACTTACTGGATCAATCTCACCCAATAGCACCAATTTCATGTTTTTCAAGTCAACAGAAACTGATTCAATCCCTGCATAATAGTTCAAATAACACCTAATTTAAAAATACAAAATCATGAACACAATGATCTTGAAACATAACTATAAGTTGTAATACATATAGACTGAAAAGTTTTATATATATGAGTATACCAGATAGGCCAGATGCTGTCTTCATAGCTTTTCTCTTGATCTTATCATCATGTAAGTCCATCTTCACCACTACTTTCTGTCACATAACAAACATCAAAGAAGATTAAGACCCAGAAATTACTTTTGCTTCCAATTCATGAAACTGAAAGGAAATAACATATACAAAATGGAAACATTTTCATGTATAAGAGTATAGTTCTGACCTTCATTATTTTCTAAGCTTGCTTGAAGGAATGTTAGAAGAGATGGTTTTTATATGCTTTTCAATTTGGAGGAAGCTGTGAGAAATATGTGTGCAATGAAGAGTATTTATAGTATAGCATGTAGTTGGAGACATTGACGTAGTCAAAGTGGAGTCAAAGTCAAGTCAACACGAGTCAAACCGTGTTTTTTTTTTTTTTAAATTAATCTTTCCTAACAACCCCCTAGAGTTCCGATGCTTCACGGAAAGTGAATCCGTGAAGTATTATAATTGAAGTGTTATTATTTTATGTCTGGTTGGTTTGGAAAACGATGGAACATGTTGCTTCGTTGTTATGTCTCAAAATGATTAATAAGATGAATGATGATAGCTGCAAGATGAATATAGCATTCAGAATCTTCCTCCTTGTTCAGTTTTAAAAGTCTTTTTCATATCATACCATAGTTACTTATACGAATGTTTCTTTTTATGTTATGATTACAAATTAATTAATAGTTATTAAATCAATTTTATTGTTTTGTGTCTTTAGATAATATTTCAAATGTGTAAACTACTGCATATTAATGTTTACTAACACAACTATTTTATGCCAACTATAACTAATAATCTCTCCACTTTTTGGCTACCGTTGTAGAATATTATTTTTAACTCAGTTCAAACCATCTCAGTAAAATAAATCCTGTTTTTTTTACTAACTGACGCACGTATTTATAAAAAATAATATTAAATCTACAATTATTATTTCTTTTTTCTAACTACAGTGCTTTATTTATATTTCTCTCGAGATTGTATGGTCTAGCCAACAAATATAGTTTTATTAAATTCTTTAAGAATGCTATGCGCTTTCCTCAAGACGACGCTGTTGGTATAACAAGATAGCTTCGTCCAGCCCTGACTACAAAATTAATCTAATTTTATATTATTTTTTTAAACAATGAAGTGTTATCATCCCTTCGCCAATGCTAGTTTGAGATATAGTGTCCTCCAACTCTCGCTACCGCTAGGAAACTGATATCACTTTTAATTTAATTTTTATAGATTTTTATTAACGGGTTATAATCTATAAGTAATTATGTGTTATTCACGATTGTAGAAGACAAACCTAAATGAACTTAAAATAAGTGAGATTGTAATTTGACAAAGTTTTACTAACATTTATTTTCAAGTTATATTTATAAGAAATAAAACTCTCCTTTTATAGAAGGAGAACTCTTAGAAGGAATGAAAGTACATTGAACTAAATTCCTTTTTTGAAGCTTTCAATTGTCGAATGGTGTGAATGTAAGCCTTCTTCCTTTGAAGCCATACAAGGAGGGTGAATGAGAGTCTTCTTCCTTTGAAGCCATCTAAGGGAGATGAATGGGAGTCTCCTTCAAACTTTAGAATGTTCTTCAACACTTCAAACAAACTAGAAGGGACGCTTCTCACGTTTCCAAGACCCAGATGACCCTTAAACTTTCCAAGGCCCAAATGGCGCTAGAAGCTCAAAAGTAACCTAATTGACAACGTCCTGACAACTCTAACTTTTGTTGACTGATTGACTCATTATCGATGTAGTTACTAACAAAAATATTCGTCAGTAAGTTAACCACTACATGGCAACCCTCGGGTTTACTTTTGTACAAACCTTTGAGATGAATCAATTTATGTATATGCAAAAGATGGTCATCACGGGAAGCAATATACCTCTAGAAGACAAAGAACCATTTCGGCAGCTATTTAAGGTAAAACATCATGAAACCCATTCTCAATTTTTATTGATGTATATATATTAAGTTCATCAATTCCATTTTAACATGATCTATTGTTACAACTGAAGGTCCAATGGAGACTTAAGCATGAAGCAAAAATTTAAAAAAATATTTACACCAAAGCATTTCATAGACTATTTGAGATGTTTAGAGATAAACGCACAGTGAAAGAATGTCCTTATTGGGTTGGGGAGCATATATAGAACGCCTTGCTAGCCCATTGGAATTCCTCATATTATCATAATAAATGTGCTACCGCCCAAAGGAACCAAACTATAGAAAAACGTGGTGTTTTGTGTACAGGTGGTTCCATTACCACTCATGAGCATGTCATTCGTATGGTACAAATCTTCATTCATTTCCTATCTATTATGAAACAAGTTATGTATTTTAAAATTGATGTATATATATAACTCCATATTCTATTATAGACACAAGAGTTAGGACACGTTGTGCACGTTGATGTAGTGATTCAACATACTCATCTTCGAAAAGGACCTGGCCAATTTGTTTATGAGAGGTCTCGAAGGACACATGTAAGCAAACTCTTTTACAACCTTCAAACTTGTACTATTATATTTTTTGTTTTAAACTTCCTCCTTCTATTGACATTGTCCATATTTTTTAATAGGAAGAATTTTCAACTAGACTCTCACAGGACAAATCGGAGAAGGGTCATGTCTTGATGCATCAAAAGCAAATACTGATGACGATGATATCATCAGGACAAAATGTTGGTTGGGCTTCGTTGGTGAAAAAATAAATAAAGGATGACTATATTGGGAAAAACATGCTTTCAATTGCATTACTAAAAGAGGTTCATTGAAGCACCAACCATCTAGATTTGGCAGTGTTGATGATGTCGTTGCCCAGCTCAGCAAACAACTATAAGCTTGTGGTCAAGCTTATGACGATCTGAGACAACAATTTATGAACCTCCAAAATTTGGTTGTGGGATTTTTTCCTCTAGATGCACAGACTATGGTAGAAGAACCTCAGTCCACCCAACATTGTCTTAGCAACGACGCTCTCTAGTTCAGCTCACCCAGTCTAGTCACCTCCACGACAACAACAATAGAAGGATGAAGAAGAAGAAGAAAATGATTCATATGACTATGCTGATTAATAGGACTTTTCTTAGTTGATAGACATTTACAATTAAAACTACTATGTTTGTATTAATGACATTATAAACATTTTTATATCAGTAATGGATTTCATTAGTGACAATATTGTTAGTGCATTGTGGATTGTTTGGATTGTCTGAATTGTGTGATTTGTCTGAAAATTGTTTTATGTCTAGGTTCATTATGGTTGTGTAGGAAATGTTTTCTACTACACTTGAATTTGTCAACCTATTTATTGACAAACGTTATCAACAAATAAATTTGTCGATAATGAATCACATTAAGTTACTACATTATCGACAATACCTATCTGTTGATAATTATTATTTATGGTCAACATTTATCAGTAATTATTTACAGTCAACATTTGTCGATAATTATAGACAATCATTATTTGTTAGTAATATTTTTTTTATCGATAATTCGTCAAAAAACTTACATTATTCACGAATTTCTATCTTTTACCGATAAATATCTAACATTAATATACGTTGACTATAATAACATTTGTGGTTAAGTTAACACTAATATTTTAATTCTAACTATACATTCTTGTAGTGAGTTCATTGGATATGAATATAAAGAAATTGAAAGGAATTACAAGGAAGCACAAGTTATGAAATGGGTGCAGTAAATATAACAGTAATGACAGGGTGGAGAAAAAGAAATTTAAGGCTATTAAAGTTAAAGGCTAATATAAGGGCTCAAGGGAGATTTAGGAAAAGGGGAAGTACATGAGGAAAGGAAAATGCGGGATATTTAACAAAATTATTTGGGGTTATTTATGAAAATAGTTGAGTGTATTAACGGAAATGACGATTTCTTGTTTATTAACAAGAGAACATTAAATAACATAATATACGAAATAAATTAGTTATATTTTATTATTACTATATATATAAAAAATAACGATGATAATAATTCACATCTTATTCTAATCTAAATTGTAGTGTTCCCATTTTATTTTAAATCACTTTTATGATCAATCATAAAATAGTAATCTTTTATTTTTATTATTTAAACATTTTTTTAATCTCTCAAACTTCTCATATCAGTAATTAATTTTTGTCTTGATTTTTTTCATTTTTTATCATATTTTCCTTAATTTAAACAATTTTACCTTCAACCCTCTTTCTCATCAAATCCATTCAAATATATTCTTTCATATCCTTCTTCAAAAGCAAACACACTCTAATATTTCGTTTTTCTTCATGTAGCGAACAAACGTATGTGTCAAATAATTTGTAGTGATTTAGGAAGACAAATTTAAGAGATTAAATTTCCTTGAATAGTGAAGAAAATAAAGAAGAAAGCCACGTCATATCTTAAATTACAAAAATAACCCCTCTCTCATACGCGTACCTTTTTGCCTTTTCACAAAAACATCCAGATTTTAGTTTAATATAATTTTTTCAATTTTAATTTTCTCATTTTAAAAAATAACTCACATTTTATAATAATAATAATAATAATAATAATAATAATAATAATATTTTTATTTAAATTAATCACTTGTCCCTAATTTATTTAAACTTAATTTTTATCAATCTCATTTTATTTTAATATAATTTTATTATTTAATTCTTTTATTTTAAATAATGATTAAAATTTCATTTTTTAACATAATTTTCATTTATTAAAATATTTTTTTAATATATTAAACTCATAGTATCATTCACAAATTTTTTTAATTTTTTTTAAAATTTTTTCATTTTACCTTAATCCAAATAATCTTCTTTTCACTTTCTTCTTAAATTCACTGAATGAGTAACTCAAATCCGTTCTCAGACAGGAATATAACTAATTGCACACATATAAGCAAAAAGTGACATGAAATACGGGTAAATAACTTAATCCAATAAAGTCCAGCTACTCAAAAACACCAAACACGTCATTTAATGGACATGTGTCGAGCACAAAAAGGGGATATTACTTTTTCACACACCTGGTTGGCAGAAGTAACACAACCACTTTATACATAGGATTCCCTCCAAAACTTGTAACATAGTTAAAAGCAAATTTTAAGAATACAATGGTGGTGTCATATGATAAGGATAATAATAGAAGGGGTAGGGTTCATAGACAGGAACAGGTACTTTTGGTGGCTCCTCCTTTTCTTTCTCCTCTTTTGCTGGTCCAACCGAAACTAATTCTGTGTGACACCATTTTCGTAGCTTCGACACTGCACTCACTGGATCAATCTCACCCAATAGCACCAACTTCATGTCTTTCAAGTCAACAGAAATTGAATCAACCCCTGCAAAATATTTTCAAACACACTTAACTTATGATTGAAATATTAACAGAAACTAAGCTAAAGAGTGAAAACTTTTATATATATATACCTGAAATGCCTGATGCTGTCTTCATAACTTTTCGTTTGATCTTGTCATCATGTAAGTCCATCTTTAAAACCACTTTCTGTAACAGAAACAACATCAAAGTGGTGTTATTTAAGACCCAGCTCACTTTTACATGGAAAATATGAAATTGAAAGGAAAGAAAACAGTGATAATCTGTGAGAAAGGTCAAGAAAGTAAAGTTCTGACCTTCATTTTTTAAAGATTGGTAGTGATGAAAGCTGACTGAGCAAGAACTGTTTGATGAGAATTGCAAAGGTAGGTGAAGAGGTGAAGGTGAGTTGGAATAACATGGCTGAGATTTTTTCCTGTATTTAAAGATCGATTATAACGCGTGGTGAAAGGACTGATCAAGTCAAGTCAACTACACAGTATAGTTTTGCAAATAGTTATATTTAAGACATAATACCTTATTTTGTCCCTAGTTTCGCTCAAAAATGTTAAATTAGTCCATCCTTTAAAAAAAGCGTCAATTACGTCCTCACTTAATAAAATTTGCATCAATGAAATCTCTTCCCTTAAATCCGTACAAACAGCGTTAATTATTTTTCTCTTTCTTCTACTTCCTCAATTAACGCCGTTTGTACGGATTTAACGGAAGGGATTTCATTGATGCAAATTTTATTAAGTGAGGATGTAATTGACGCGATTTTTAAAGGATGGACTAATTTGACATTTTCTAACAAAATTGGGGACAAAATAGTGTATTAAGCCTATATTTAACATTTTGTTTTGCATATAGAAAAAGACTATGTAGTATGGTACAGTCTACAAATCTATAGTATAAATTTTGTTCGTTATTCACGCCGTTAGAACCGTGTCATCTTTGAAAATTTTTCAGGTTCACACTGTTCCTTCGAAGAAAGTGCAATCAATAATTGCATTGTCTAGAAGTATTGTTATATATCAAACACTTCATTTTCTTTATTCTGGATTACGATGTTAACACTTTTTTAACAATTTTTTTTATAACGAGTCATCTCTCATTATTTCATTGATTTTTTGAATTTATTTTTAAAAAATATTTGAAACTAACTAATCATCAACTAAGTTTTAAAATAAAATTGTTAAAAAATTATTTTTCTTCGTTCATTTACCATTAAGACTTATGTCTAGACGAAAAAGATTAATAAGGCATAGCTTTTATTATTTTCAGTTTGTAATTTAAAATAAAGTAAATATATATTCTAAACTGCCTTTAAAATTTGATCAAATATTGAAAGAAAGAAAAAAAGTTTTTTTTCTCCCACAAACAACATTTAAAGTTCATTATAAATGTAACCATACTCACACCAACTATCACTCCTTCAACCCCACCCCAACTAACATATATAACAACTTACATTACTAAAGTAAGGTTAAAAGAAATAATTAGAATCTATATTATTTTAATTTTATTTACACGAATGTATCTCAAATCTAAATTCTTATATACTTTTAAGTTTAGTTCAACTATTTGAATTTGGTTTAGATCATTTTTTATTTTGAAAATTCAAAATCAAGATTTGTCTAAGACAATTAAGAACTTAGTTAAACCAAAGTTATCTTTGAGTCCAAGATCAAGCAAAGTCGGTTTGGATTATAGATTGAATTGAGTCGGCCTAAAATGAAGGTAGAGTTAAATTGGCCTAGGTAAATTCAAATTTGTTCAGGTTAAAGGTCATGTTGAGTTGATTTGGCCCACAACACTAAGTTGAACCAACCCAAACCAAAGGTTGATATGTATCTGTCGAGGTAGAAAATTAAGGCTAATCGTCATGGGCTGAAGGTCAAGTCAACTCTTCTGAATTAAAGGTCAATGCTAGTTAACCTAGGTTAAGGGCTAAGCGAGAAGACCTGAAACAAATGGTAGAGTGAAGTAATCATGGGCCCATAAGCCCAATTGGTCTAAGCTGAAGAATAAAGTCGAAGAATCGAGTTGAGTTTGTCCGAGCTGAAGAATAAAGTCAATTTGGCCTAAGTTGAAGAATCGAGTTGAGTGAGCCCAAACAAAGAAATAAGTGGAGTCAATCTAGGGTCAAAAATTGAGCCAAGTCAACCTAGGCTGAAGAACCTAGCCTATTTTGCTCAAATAAAAGGATTGTGCTAAGCCGGTCAAGGCTGAAGGTCAAGATGATTCAACTTGGTCCCAAGATCCAATTGAGTCATCTAGTGCCTAGGATTGAGTCAAGTCAGTTTGGGCTAAAGGACAAGATAAGTCGACCTAGACGAAGATCAAGATGAACTTATGTAAAGTTGAATTATCTTGGGTCTACGGTTAAGCTAAGTTATCATAACCCTGGGTCGAGTCGAGTCAACATGGCCTAGGTAGAGTCAAGTCTACTAGGATCCAAGTCGAACCTAATTAGACTAGACCCAACTAGAATTGAGTTGAAATGAGTTAGTCATGGCCCATGTTAACTTATGTAAGCTCTAGTCGATGTTGAGGTGAGGTGGCTTATAACATATTCTATTTTCATATTAATTATTAATCATATTTAAACTCCTTAGGTAAATATTTAATATAAAATAAATTTAATTTTTGAAGAATACTTGAATAAAAGTATATTTTTCTTTTATTTTAATCAATTAACTTACATTATATAAATAGTTGATTATCTTATAAGAAAAATAATTTATAATATTTAAATATATTTTTGGTTTAAACCCTTAGATGGTCCTCATATTTGTATGTGAATCTCAGTTGGGTCCTCATATTTGAAACTGTCTTAATTGAGTCATAATATTTGTAAAATTGAGCCAATTTTACCCTATTCGTTAAGTTGTCCCAAACGGTGTTAAACTGTGATGGCGTGTTTATGCTGATGTGCATTATTTAATTAGGTGGAATTTTTATTTAAATTAAAAAATTATGACATGTGTCAACTCCTTCCTTACCCAAAATTAGGGTTTCACATTGGGAGAAAAGGGCTTCTTNAGTCAAGTCAACTACACAGTATAGTTTTGCAAATAGTTATATTTAAGACATAATACCTTATTTTGTCCCTAGTTTCGCTCAAAAATGTTAAATTAGTCCATCCTTTAAAAAAAGCGTCAATTACGTCCTCACTTAATAAAATTTGCATCAATGAAATCTCTTCCCTTAAATCCGTACAAACAGCGTTAATTATTTTTCTCTTTCTTCTACTTCCTCAATTAACGCCGTTTGTACGGATTTAACGGAAGGGATTTCATTGATGCAAATTTTATTAAGTGAGGATGTAATTGACGCGATTTTTAAAGGATGGACTAATTTGACATTTTCGAACAAAATTGGGGACAAAATAGGGTATTAAGCCTATATTTAACAGTTTGTTTTGCAGATAGAAAAAGACTATGTAGTATGGTACAGTCTACAAATCTATAGTATAAATTTTGTTCGTTATTCACGCCGTTAGAACCGTGTCATCTTTGAAAATTTTTCAGGTTCACACTGTTCCTTCGAAGAAAGTGCAATCAATAATTGCATTGTCTAGAAGTATTGTTATATATCAAACACTTCATTTTCTTTATTCTGGATTACGATGTTAACACTTTTTTAACAATTTTTTTTATAACGAGTCATCTCTCATTATTTCATTGATTTTTTGAATTTATTTTAAAAAAATATTTGAAACTAACTAATCATCAACTAAGTTTTAAAATAAAATTGTTAAAAAATTATTTTTCTTCGTTCATTTACCATTAAGACTTATGTCTAGACGAAAAAGATTAATAAGGCATAGCTTTTATTATTTTCAGTTTGTAATTTAAAATAAAGTAAATATATATTCTAAACTGCCTTTAAAATTTGATCAAATATTGAAAGAAAGAAAAAAAGTTTTTTTTCTCCCACAAACAACATTTAAAGTTCATTATAAATGTAACCATACACCAACTATCACTCCTTCAACCCCACCCCAACTAACATATATAACAACTTACATTACTAAAGTAAGGTTAAAAGAAATAATTAGAATCTATATTATTTTAATTTTATTTACACGAATGTATCTCAAATCTAAATTCTTATATACTTTTAAGTTTAGTTCAACTATTTGAATTTGGTTTAGATCATTTTTTATTTTGAAAATTCAAAATCAAGATTTGTCTAAGACAATTAAGAACTTAGTTAAACCAAAGTTATCTTTGAGTCCAAGATCAAGCAAAGTCGGTTTGGATTATAGATTGAATTGAGTCGGCCTAAAATGAAGGTAGAGTTAAATTGGCCTAGGTAAATTCAAATTTGTTCAGGTTAAAGGTCATGTTGAGTTGATTTGGCCCACAACACTAAGTTGAACCAACCCAAACCAAAGGTTGATATGTATCTGTCGAGGTAGAAAATTAAGGCTAATCGTCATGGGCTGAAGGTCAAGTCAACTCTTCTGAATTAAAGGTCAATGCTAGTTAACCTAGGTTAAGGGCTAAGCGAGAAGACCTGAAACAAATGGTAGAGTGAAGTAATCATGGGCCCATAAGCCCAATTGGTCTAAGCTGAAGAATAAAGTCGAAGAATCGAGTTGAGTTTGTCCGAGCTGAAGAATAAAGTCAATTTGGCCTAAGTTGAAGAATCGAGTTGAGTGAGCCCAAACAAAGAAATAAGTGGAGTCAATCTAGGCTCAAAAATTGAGCCAAGTCAACCTAGGCTGAAGAACCTAGCCTATTTTGCTCAAATAAAAGGATTGTGCTAAGCCGGTCAAGGCTGAAGGTCAAGATGATTCAACTTGGTCCCAAGATCCAATTGAGTCATCTAGTGCCTAGGATTGAGTCAAGTCAGTTTGGGCTAAAGGACAAGATAAGTCGACCTAGACGAAGATCAAGATGAACTTATGTAAAGTTGAATTATCTTGGGTCTACGGTTAAGCTAAGTTATCATAACCCTGGGTCGAGTCGAGTCAACATGGCCTAGGTAGAGTCAAGTCTACTAGGATCCAAGTCGAACCTAATTAGACTAGACCCAACTAGAATTGAGTTGAAATGAGTTAGTCATGGCCCATGTTAACTTATGTAAGCTCTAGTCGATGTTGAGGTGAGGTGGCTTATAACATATTCTATTTTCATATTAATTATTAATCATATTTAAACTCCTTAGGTAAATATTTAATATAAAATAAATTTAATTTTTGAAGAATACTTGAATAAAAGTATATTTTTCTTTTATTTTAATCAATTAACTTACATTATATAAATAGTTGATTATCTTATAAGAAAAATAATTTATAATA